AAACCCAACAAACAAACAACCAAAAAACTGAAAAAAAAGGCAGGCTGTGGTTTTTTTTGTTCTGGTCCACTCCAATACCAGTCTGGATGGCTGCTTTTGCTTATTTAAATTCTGGCCCACAATTTCAGCAGGATAGGACAGGAGACACTTCTTGCCCTAAACTGTTGCTTGTGTTCCCAGTGGCTTAATCCTCCAACTCCAGCAGCACCAGGAGGATATCTGGCATCCCACTGTGTATCAGTGCCCATTAAACAGGAATACAATACCAGAGCAGTCTGCTACTCATTTATTAAAGTACACAAGGGGTGTTGTAAGAGAAGCTATTTTCACTGGGACTAATGAGCAGAGTTTTAATTGCAGTGGAACTAGGACAACAACTTTTCAATTGCAGCATAACTGATTGAGGTAAAATAAGGGTATTCTCCTCAGGTCATCCTGGGCTTTTTGAAATTATTGTCTATGTTGATAACAGTACTTGGTAACTGTACCATGGAATTGTTTGCTCAGCTCAGTCAGTGGCAATTCTTTTTTTTTTTATTTCAAATACAGCTTAACAAGTATATACTAATGCAAAAGTTTCATTCTAGTAATTTTTTTACCCATTCTGGAACTGCCAGTGACTCCCAGTAATGCAAGGGACGAGGAATTATTTTTCTCCATTAAATATTCTGTATTTGGGGTTCTTGTTCTTCTAATTTGAAACAAGAATCCAAAATCTCTCTCTCCAATTTGAGCCTTTTGTTAGAAAACAAGTAAAAACCTCTTTGCAATGCAATTGACATCAAAACCTTGTGATGGAGAGGGCGTCTCAGGTAGTCCAACAGAGGGAGAGCCAGTGAAGCTCCACACTGCCAGGCCCATCCAGGACTCATATACACACTCAGATAATCATATACAACACAAAACATGGCTGGTATATGCACATGGCTGTTATATGCACATGGTTGGCCACACTGATGGAGTCAGATGCAAAAATGCACCACTCACACAAACTGCACCAATGCCCTTGTACTGTGGCCTTCTCTGGCTCATCAGGATGAAGGCCAATTGGTGGGAAACATATCTATATGTTAAAGAAAATATGGATTGCTCCAGCAACTAAAACCATCCCCAGGTGGTCCTGGATCCTTAGTTTACATGGCAACTGGCACCTCTGCACACATGCTCTGAGTGCCTGTGGCTTTGCTCGTGGTCATAAGCACACTATGGCTCCCCAGGTAAGTGTCACCTGGATCCTCTTGTCTCCAGCTGTCTCACACAGGCACACACACACACACACTCTCACATACAGATAGAAACAGGTCTTTCAGTTAAACCCAACCCTTACTTTCTGGCCTGGACTCCCAGTGTCTCCAGTAGCCAGCTTGCACACCTGCACCCATGCCAGTCCCTGGCACCGTGGATGGATGGACTCCTGCGACACCTGGTCCCTCCTCTATCCTGATGAGTTAGAGAAAGGAACAGTGCATGTTCATTGGTGCAGCTGGCACTCAGACACCCATGACCATGTGTGCATACAGAATAGATAGTCCTTCACCCAGGAAATTGCTTTGGAATGGATTTTAGTGGGAAGACAACACCACCTGAGTGTGGTGGCCAGGCACATGGCAAGGCCAGAGAAGGAAGCAGAGCAGAAATGAACGTGTTCAAATGTCACTATCCCTTTTATCCTCTTATCCTTCTATTTCTCATACTTGTTCCTCCCCAGAACATCTTGGTCTCTTGCCTTCTCCCCTAACCAACCCTAATTAAGTCTTAAATAGTCTCCAAATGCTCTTCCCAGTATCTCTATCATGGTTTATGGTTTATCTGCAGCAGGCAGATAAGCCTGACACAGCCACTCACTCACATGCCACGTTCCTCCTCCGCTCCTTCTGATGCAGGAGAACCAGAAGGGTACAAGTGAGAAAACTTACAGATATAAGTAAAGACAATTTAACAGGCAAAACAGAGTTGTGTGTACAAACAAAGCAAAACAAGAAATCATTACTTTTCTACCTGGACCATGCAGCTGTCATTCTGTCATTTATATAAAGAGTATAACATCAAAAATGAAAACAAATATAGCTCCTGGTCCTGCAGGAACATAGACAAGTATTCAATTTAACAGTATTCACTCTGAACAAGCAAAATGCTAAACACAGGTAGTAAATCTATAGTTGCTTCTAGTAATTGAGCAGGAAGTTGGGTTTTGGATTTTTTTTTGCTTGGTTTGGTTTTGGTGGTTTGTTTTGTTTTGTTTTGTTTTGTTTTGTTTTGTTTTTTATTAAGGTTGACTATGGAACAGGTATCACAAAAGATGATACTTTTTTTAAGGAAAAATCTTTCATTCCTTTGCTGACAAACAAATTGAGGTTAAAGGCTCCTGATCACAATTGCTTCAAAGAAGAGCAGTTCTTGCAGATCACTCTTCTCAGAAATCTGAAATGTTTTCTTTGGCAAGTGTTGATATCTGCCTTCTCCCAGGTGATAAGGTTCTAATCAAACTTTCTTAAGTGTTTATCCTTTAAAAATAAAGACCTGAATTAAGGTTACAGGTATTGTAGTATTTTAAGGTAAGACATGATCAGAGTCACTTAGCCGACAGCTTCATTTCATTTTACATTTGCTTATCCTCTTGATTTTTCAGGATGAAGATCACCGGCTTGTGTTTGGAAATGTTGAAGGGTGTGTGCAATTTGAAGCAAAAGGAACATGAAAGTACATTTGAGACTGCAAGTGTCACCTTCAAGACTAGAGAGCTCATAGATCCTACCTATCTGTGAAGACTGCTTCTCAGGAAACTCCACAGGACACCTGAGTCTGAAGCATCCCTTTTCCTCACACCGAATGCTGTGTTAGTGTTGATAGTGACTGCA